CTTTAAAGGTTAAACAGGAAACCCTTAAACTATTCTCAGCTGTAGCGGGCGGCATTTTTAATGATACAGAGCCAGCTGCTGCTGAGAGAGGAGAGGTCACCTCCGGTGAGTGTTTGGCAGTATTCCCCTTAGTTTGTGGGAATACCGCCGTAGTGATAAGCGCCCGCCGGGACCCATGCTGCCCTCTGACAGGAGCAGCGCAGGCGGGTGGCGTGACAGACTAACTGCAAGGTTTCTGCTAAAAGAATTAGAAACTGTTGCTTACCTGGATTAGATCTGGACTTGACCAGCACCAATGTGCTTAATGGCCTACAGAGTATTTAGGATTATGAGGGCTTAGTGGGCACCTGTTTTAAAGGCAATGTGAGCTTACAGCCTAAGGTATTTTGAAGGCAGTAATCCCCTAATACTAAGACCTTTAAACCTATGTTCCTCTTATCCTAAATCTAATACTCCCCTAACTTGAATCCCCAAACTCTAAGCCAACCACAACCTTACCCTGCCTAATCAATAACATTTCCATCAATGTCCAGTCAGTCTAATTTTAAGTATGGGCAAAATGTTTTAAATGTTTGGTATGCTTCATATCAAAAGAGGATTTTTATTTAGGAAGTTAAACTGAAAATTCATATATCTCCAAAGCCTTGAATCTGTTCCTTTAAAAATTCCAAAAATATTCATAGCATAATAGACATTGGGCTAACTGAGCATCATGGGAAATATAGTTCATAAACATCTGCTTTGTGAAGATCTTTAAACATTGGTATCTGATATTGAACAGCTGTCAAATTCACCTGTCTCCAACTGTTCCAAATTCACCCGGCTCCAACCATTTGTTTTATATAGGTCAAAGCCTCCTTGCTTTTCATCCATAATAGTCTACAGGAGTAGGCAATCTTCGGCACTCCAGCTGTTGTGGACAGTATCTCCCATAACGCTCTTATGGTTATAATGGAAGCAAAGCATCAAGGTAGATGTAGTCCGTAATATCTGGAGTTCTAAAGGTTGCCTACCCCTGTTCTACATTAATGCATATAAATGTCATATTAGAATATTTGATACTCTGTACAGGAAAAATCAATAGAAAAATATACAATGAAACTGAATAATTAGCTATACTGGTCACTTAAAAATAAATTCCTTTAATTAGTTAAATATCTGTAGTTAATGATTAGTAGTGTTTATGATGTGTATGGTTCCCTGACTGGCCCTTTAAGTAAAACTCATTCTGATATTTTGTCTCATTTAAAAAAATCCAAGTAAGGGTTATTAGTGAAATTGTAGATTTATATAGCAATTGGCCTATGACAATTTCTAATAATTACTAACAATTACAAATAGTTTAAATATTGAAGTGCCGGCATTGCCTTTTAATTCAAAGCTTTTGGAGAGAAATGTAAAAAGTGGTGGAGTGCATGTCTGATCCTCCCCCTTTCCCAGCAGAGACCCTCCTGTTGTGTCACACATCATTTTCGGTTAAGGTATACATAGGCTATATGCAGTAAAAGGGATAACCATCTTGTTCTGGAAGTGGAGGATGCCCACCTTTAACATTATGGCTTTCTAGAGTGGAGGAAGCGAGCCAAATGGACAACCTGGTAGCAGGTGACCCTAAGACACAAGATGGCTTTCTACAGAAATTGTTCTATTGGTTGGAGATCCTGTCCTCTCCGAACTTTCCTAATTGTGAACAAATAGGCACTGTCTTAAGTAATAACTATGAATAAAATTTGATGTGTTGCCATGCTTGGAATCCGGGATATGTGCGATGGTGGCAGCCTGGTGGTCCTCGTCCTAGGGGAGGTTGGAGAAACTAAAAACATTTCCCCCTTCATGTCTTTTCCTCGCTCTCACTTTTTTCTGCTCTTCTTCTTTCAAGAGATCACAGGCTCACAAGTAAACTATCTTAACAAGGATATTTTATGGTTTGGTTCATTTGTCAAACAGTCGCATCTGTACATTCGATTTTGGTTTTATGAGAAAAGGTTTATTTACACAATGGGATTGTATTTTCCTAAACAGAACATGATGGCATTATGTACCTTTTTGTATTTATTTTCCATAAAAACAATATTCTGATGAATAAATTAAATTCATCGTTGATCAGAATTCATCATTTCTGTTGGCATTGCCACTTTAAAACAGACTATTTCATGCTGAAACGCATCCAGTAAATAAACATAGCAAACATTTCGATATTCTATCTCTTCGCTACAGACTTTTTTCCCAGTAAAGTTTACCTCAGACCAAAATAAATCTTTCCTGAAGAATGCATACATTTTGGCATGCTGTAAGAGATTAAAATAATTGAGTATGCATGGATGTTCTTTACCATTTCAGAATAAAACATTTGCAATACATCCCATTAATAAGAATTGTAACGTCTTGAAGTCTGAGAAGACATACTTGCCTAATCTTTGGTAGTCAAAATGTCAACACTGCCCTCTAGTGTTCAAAATAGAACATTATGCTTGTTAAAACAATTCATTTAATCAAGGCATAGAGGGGAAACTGGTATTGTAAGAATATAAAAAAAAAAAAAATTAAAAAAATATAGAAGGCATATAAACAAGATGAAAATATAATTCTAAGGTTCTTCTCAAATAAGGGAATTCTGAAGAGAAATTCAATGTTATATTCAGCCCCATTCCACATTTTTCAATGTCTCTGACTCCGAAACCATGTTTTTTACTGGCAATATACCACAGAATTCAAGGTTTATTCAAATGGTTTTAAAAGATGTCACTTGGATCTCGCCTAATACACCTAGTTTGACTTTGTGTCAATCTAAACTTTCTTATATGTTCCAGTTAGACTGAGTTATGGACTCTCAACATAAGGAACATTTTAAATGCTGGCTGCACTACATTTACTCCCTTGATACCCTGAGTAGGACCCTTAACCGTAACACTTCTCAATTTACAAATTGGTTTTCTTCACAAATCCTGTGTGGAAAGCCTCCATTATATTTATAATACTTTACTTTTTGTTTAGTTTTCTTTTTTGATATTATTTAGCACCAACAATAATATGTTTAGTGTAAATATACATATTGTTTTAATTATTTTTGAGAATAGTATAATATTGTTTTAGTTATTTGTTCTAAACTTTCTTTTCTTTTGTCAATTGTGGTATTCCATATGGTGTTTGGAAATATAAGCCTAATACCCATTAAGGTGGAACCTCGGAGCGTAAAAAATGTCTAGGTACACGAACGATCCTTGGTACCCGAACACATCACATGGCATTTACAGAGGGACACAAGTGTGGGCAAGTATGGGATACAAGTGTGAGATGAGGAAATATGGAAAGATGGACTATGTAAAGGGATAGAGGGGAATATAGGGAGAGGAAAACCAGAGGGTAGAGGGACACAAGTAAAGGGTGAAGGGATATGGACAGAATTATTATGCAAGGAGAAAGAGGAAAATATGAGGAGCAGGATACCAGAGGAAAAAGGGACACGTAGTAAGGGAAAAGGGACTATGGATATAAGGATACAAGCGGAGGAAAGAGGGGTATTAGATATTTTGAACCTGATACAGCAATTGTATATGCTTTTGTATGTAATGCCAGAAGAACAGTTACCTATCCCCATCCATGTAATTTTGGGAGTCTGGAATGGATTAAACACATTTTACATTAATTCCTATGGGAAATGTTGATTCGGTTCTCGAACAAATCGGAACTCGAACAGCCTTCTGGAACCGATTAAGTTTGATTTCCGAGGTTCCACTGTATATCTTCTATATTAGTTAAAGCAATAAAAAAAAATTTGAAAAAACAAATACATTTTGTGCATGTGTGTAAACACCTTTTAGATCTATCTATCTATCTATCTATCTATCTCTCTGTCTGTCCCAGTACATCTGTCCATTCATCCATTTATCTGTCTGTCTGTCTATGTCTATCTAGCCACAGGTAACAGAGATATCACTACATATAACTACAATGTTCTTTTACTTTAAAAAATAGCATTTAGATTTTTGGTATTTGGATGCATTACTGTCCCAAAAGACTTTTGATTAAACAGCAGGTTCATGTATAAACTGCTGCTAGGGGATAAATAATGACATTTATGTCAATTTACTCAACTTAAGTTGGATAAAAAGTTTTTTCAGATAACATGATATCCATTATTTTGCTATATCAAACACGGTCTGACCTATGCAATGTCAGCTGTTCTAGTATATAACCCTCAATGCATTTGGCCATTTATAACAACATTGGAATACACGCCATCATGTAAAAATAAAAAAAACAAAGTTCAGTGTTTCATGAATTGCTGACACAGGAAACATTTGCTTCATGTGATGAGATAATATAACATATTAAAATACTATATAATTATTACAATGTGCATATACAGATAACAAAAATGCAGGGTTTCACATACAAATGGAATCTACACAGATTCTATAAGAACATGAACAGAGATTGGTCTTTTAAGTATGAACATATAGTAGGCACATATAGTATTTCCTTTATAACCTCAAAAAAAAAAAACAATAAAACATAGATTTTCGAGTCACACTACTTTTAGGCCAACAAGTATTTTTACACATTTTCAGTAATAATTATTTCATAATAGTTAAGGTTCCACAAAATTTTAAATACAAAACAAATCTACAGGTATAAATGACAAAGAACGGAACACAAAGACTAGTTTCCCCCTGTACACCTTGGGAAGGGGGATCATGACTGCTGCCCATGTATGGTGGGCTGGCCTAGATTGGATAAATTGTTGCAAAGATAAGGGGTTTGGGAAGAGAAGTGGGGAGGAGACTTACTAGTCAGCAGAGACTCTGGAGGGAAACTGGTGAAAATGTCTGTGCTGGCTGGATTAGGCCCTGTTCAACAAGAAAAGTTTTTGTTAGTGCCCTGATTTGCAGCCTGTCACCCTATCCCCCCTCCACATACCCGCACGCATGGCACACATGTCAGAACCTGATCTGATGAGGCTCCTGCAGGATTACCATGGTTGGGGAGCGCTGGAGGTGATGTTATCCGGCGTTGCGGCGGTCCCTGGTACTGGCCCTGAGGCGCTGGCTGTGTCGGTGTATGGAGCTGGCGGACGGAGGGCACTTATCACCAAGTCCGGTTCGGCACGGGGAGAGAAAGAGTCGGCGGAGTCGGGAGACCAGAGGTGCCGAAGCTGCGGTGGCGACATCTCCAGCGCTGGAAGGAGGTCGACGGAGAAGGTCCCGGCCGGTCGGAGTGGAGAGGGCCCAAGATGGCGGCGAGGAAGATGGCGCCGGCATCACCGGAAGATCGCGCAGTCCAAGCGCTTCTCTTCCTGCTCCACAGGAAGTGCCGTCAGCACGCACGGCACGTAGCATGTGTGCTACCACCAGTGAGGTCATCACGCACAGCGTGACCGCGAATCGGTGGACAGACCGCAGTGAGGGGACATGGTGGAAGGTGAGAAAGGTAAGCAGCTGCTGCGTACCTTTGGGAATTGGCTCCAGGGCTTCTGTGTGTACGGGGGTATTCTCTCGCGGCGGTGTTCAGAGAGGGCGCCGTCGTTATTCGGATATTTGGATTTAATTTGGGCGGCCTAAAAAATTTATGGGGGTCAGTGTTGGTTCCGCTATGACCAGCAGTTTCGCCAGAAAATGGCGGTGAGTCCGGATATGGATTTTGGGATGCAGGACGGCAGCCTATGGCTGCTGTTTAGGACCCATTGTCGCCCGGCCCCCTTTCAGGGGGGGGAGCGTTGGCGGGACCATGAATAGGAGTATGCTGGCTATTTAACGAGAGCCATTGTCGGTGGTACGGGTCATGTAGATTTCAGCACGAATGCTCGCACTGTGGCGGGGCTCACCCGTCCTCGAGGTGTTTTAAGATGGGGAAGCAGGGGCCTCACGCGGGTAAGGACGATGTACCTCGGTCGGAGGACGCCGGTGAGCGTTGAAAGGATGTGGCTGTGGCTCAACCGGTATCCTAGGCGTTGAGACGCGCAAGTTTTGTTGGATGGGTTTTGGATCTACTTTGTGCCTTAGTCCTCACCAACCTTTGCCGGGTAATTTGCCGTCAGTGGTGGAGAAGGAAGTAATTTTGGGGGACAAGCTCAAGAGGTAGGTTCATCTGAGGCATATGATGGGCCCCTTTGATGGCCTTCCTTTCCCCAATTTGCGGGTCTCTCCGCTGGGCTTGGTTCCCAAAAACGAGCCAGGTGTTTTTCGCCTCATTCAACACGTGTCGTATCCCTCAGACGGGCCGGTGAATGACAGGATTGATAAGGAGGTGTCTAGGGTCAGGTATACCTCCTTTGATCGGGCACTGGAGTTGGTTAGGGACGCCGGGGCAGGGGCCCAGTTGGCGAAGTTGGACATTGAAGCACCCGGACTGATTCCACTTGTTGGGGTGTCACTTCCAAGGTTTATATTTCTTTGACATGTGTTTGCCCATGGGTTGCGCCATTACGCGTTCGTATTTCGAAATGTTCGCTTCTTTCGCGGAATGGGTGGTCTCCCAGGTGGCGGGTCTGTTATCTCTGACTCATTACCTAGATGACTTCCTGTTTGTTGGGCCGAGTGCGTCCCGGGAATGTGCGGTGCTACTGGAGTCCTTTCAAAACGTAGCGGCGGATTTTGGCATGTCAGTGGCGGCTGGTAAGACGGTCGGGCCATCGGGGGTGTTGTCATACCTGGGCAATGAAATCGACTCGGGTGAAATGGTGTTTCGGCTTCCTGAGGATAAGTTGGCGCATTTGATGCGCCTGGTGGATAAAAAAAAGTCCAGCTGCGCCAATTGCAGGTTTTGTTGGGGCACCTTAATTTCGCGTGTCGTGTTCTGGCCATGGGCAGGGAATTTTCTCGCAGGTTGTTGCTAGCGACGGTCGGGGTGGCCCAACCATTTCATTTTATTCGCATCACTGGGCGCCTCCGGGACGATCTCCAGACTTGGAGTTCATTCCAGGTGACATACAACGGGCAGTCCTGCTGGTTGCAGTGTGCAATTTCCCATGTGGACTTGTTTACAGATGCCTTGGGGTCGGTAGGCTTCGGGCATACTTCCAGGGATGTTGGTGTGCGGAGCGTTGGCCTCAGGACTGGTGTGGCAGTGAGCTCATGGGAAATTTGACTTTCCTGGAGTTTTTTCCCGTTGTGGTGGCAGTGGAGCTGTGGGGTGGTGAATTTGCCAATCAAAAGGTGATTGTTCATACGGACAACTTGAGCGTGGTACATGTGATCAATCGCTCCACGTCGGCTTCTCCCCCGGTATTGGCGCTGCTTAGGTGGTTAGTCTTGCTGTGTCTGCAACGTAATGTATGGATTGTGGCGCGTCACGTTCCTGGCACCTTGAACGTGATAGCCGACTCTCTGTCTCAGTTTCAGTGGTACTGATTTCAAGAGGCAGCCCCGGAGGCGTCACACACAGGAACACCTTGCCCAAAGGACATATGGGACTTGATTTCAGACATCTGAGGTGAATTTTGAGGGATTCGTTATCAGAGTCCACGTGGTCCGCTTATGTGTCGGTTTGGCGGCGGTGGTGCAGTGTGGAGTCCGTTGAAGATCTATCGTCAGGGGCAGGGAGATTGGGTAACACGCTGACTCTTCTGGAGATCTTATGTGCAGCAGGTAAGTCCACGGCAGTCGCAGAGCATCACTTGGCCACCATTTCCTTTTTATTTCAGTGGTTTGGTTGGCAGGATGCTACGAAGGCTTTCTGTGTTGCGCGGGCCTTGAAGGGTTGGAAGAAGAGCCGTCGCACTGATTCGCGGCGACCCATCTCCTTCGAGGTTCTGTGTCGGTTGTTAGAATTTCTGCCGCATTTCTGTTTTTCGGGGTATGAGGTTCTACTGTTTTGTGTGGCTTTTTTGTTATGCTTTTTGGTGCCCTCTGGGTCGGGGAATTGGTGGCCCCTCGGGCCAGTGCGCCAGCGCCGCTGCTTCTGTCGGATATCTCCATCTCAGACGGTGGGTTGGTGCTGTTAATTCAACAGTTTAAGACGGATTTCAAGGGAGTGGGAGCGCAAGTTCGCATAGGCAGGACGGGCGGTCCTTTTTGTCCTGTAGCGATGGTCCGGGAGTTTCTGACGGCTCGGGTGGGTGAAGGGGTGTCCCTTCTTCCAATTTTCTTGGGTTCTGCGGTCCTGTGTGAGCGGGTTGGGGTTGGATCCCTCCTCTTATACTACTCACTCCTTTCGCATTGGGGCAGCGACCCAGGCCAGCGTGATGGGTTTTCAGGCGGATGCGCTTAAGCACTTGGGCAGGTGGCAGTCAGGTCGTTTTCAGCTGTATGTTAGGCCTCATATGTTGTAACCGACTCCCTGTTATTCTTCTTGTTGTCCTTGTCGTTGCCTGTTTTCACAGGCGTGGTTACCCGATACGTCTGGATCCTGGGCCATTCCTATGTATATTGGGCAGCTAGGCGGGCCGAAGCCAGACCATATGGGCGCAATCTGAGGTTTCCATGTGAGTTAGTGCGAATTTGTTGGAGGGGTTTGTCTTGGGCACAGATGTATTCAGAGTGCATTCAGCTTAGTCGCTACGTGTCGGGGCCAGTCACATTAGTGCTCCATGCAGGTGGGAATGATATTGGCTGTAGGTGGTCAATTGATTTGATTCATGAGATGAAGCAGGACATGGCACGTTTTTTTGCCCTCTTTCAGGAGCTGACTCTTTTATGGTCGGAAATAATTCCTCGGCCAGTTTGGGGGATTTCGGGAAAAGGTAGGCCCTTAGAACATTGCCGTTGCAAAGTCAATATGACTTTTGCGAGATTTGTGCGACGGCTGGGAGGGTTGGTCATTCGGCACATGGAGCTAGAAGGGGAGAATTCCAATGTTATGAGGAGGCTCCCATTGTCTCCCATTGGTTTGGATATCTTCAATGTGGGTTTACAGTCGGGACTGGAGGTTGTGCTGTCTGCGGGGGAGGTGCGATGCCGGCGCGGCGTAGCACACAGAGGGCGACATTGTGGTGGCGGGATCGCGGGACAGCACAACTGGGAGTAAAGGATAGAGACACAGAGTCGGTTGGGGAGATGACAGACCGCACGAGGGCTGATGGCAAGTGCCAGCTGTTGAGGCTCTTGGGAAAAAGAGGTGGAGAACTGTCTGTTGGGTTAACCGCCCAACAGCTGACAGGTTATGGTTATTGGATTTGAATTGAAGTTAATAAAGCTGTGGCCGTTGCCCTTATCCACAAGAAAAGTGTGTGGTGTCTTATTGGGAGGGCAACGGAGGGGGGGGGGGAGGAGGAGAATGGGTCAGCAGTCAAGTATTGCCAGTTTAAACAAATCCTTATGTGTATATTATACATTCACAAAGAAATTGAGGACAAAATGTCCACTTAAGGGTATTCTGTCCATCCTCTTCTTCACTTAAATACCTTCCTAGCAATTGTACATGTGGATACAATCACTTACAAAATATTAAAGGGTCACTAGAAGTACCCAGACAACTTCATCTGAAGTGGTCTGGATGCAATGTCCCTGTCATTTCAACCCTGCAGCTGAAAAGGTTCAGAGAAACTGCAATGTTAATATTGCATTTTTAAGCCTGCCTCTAGTGGTTGTCTACTACTACCTTAAGTGTCTAGCTGTCTACCACTAGAAGCGCTTCCTGCTGTTTCACAGAGTTTGCATGAGGAAGTACAACGTCTTCAATGCTTTCCTATAGGGAGGGCCTAATGCGAGGGTGGTTCCCCCCCATCTGGTGATGTTAAAGGAGGCAGGAATCAGCCCAACACAGAGGGACCTCAGCTCTGGAATCAGGTAAGTGTTAAAGGTTTTTTTAATGCATTATTTGCCACGGGTGGGGATAAGGGGGCCAGAGGAACACTATAGTGATAGTTGTATCACTACTCCTGGTAGTTCCTGGTCATCAAAAAAGTTCAGGTTTTCAATCCCCAAGGGGTGAGAACATATGATTTTAAAGCAATATATGAAAACAAACCCTATGAGTTTTGTCTGTAATGCATGGACTTCCTTTGGAACAAGTACAATAAGTACAAAAAATAGACATTTTAAATGGGCTAAGTTCTAACACATTTATGAAACAAATGAGACTCTATATCTTGGTATTTACACTTAGTAGTTTAATGGTGCTCTTCAGGCTTAAATAGACTCATCCTTTTTCAAACACAATGAATCCAAACTAATTATTAAAGATACCGACTGAAAAAGCCCAGAAACCGGGTGAAATGCGTTTAGGAGGCCTTGATTACTGTATATATACTTGTTTGAATGATTTTGATGTTATTTTATTTATTTTAATTTGTTTGTAACGTTTGATTTAATAAATGTGTATGTATATACTTTCCATACATGAGACTCCTGGCCCAACACTCTGCACCTTGGGTTGAATTTAAAGGGGGTTTTAAATA